ATGTTGGTACAAAGATTGGAGGATTTCTCCCTTGAAGATCAAAGCGTAAAAACCCTAAAACTAAAGAGTTCGAGCCAAATGTTATCCCTCAAAGAAAACGTGTAACTATGGTGCTGATTTTCGTGGCCTCCTTCTGTTTTAATAGGTGAGAAAATCGGCTAGGTATATCTCCAAGAGCTTTAGGGATATTCATCGAAGATTTGGAAATCTGCCTGTTTTCCGTATTTTAAGCGTATCTTCAGATCGCACCGTCGGATTTTCACGATGGAATATGTTCTGTGAATCTGAGATCATTGTATATCGCGTGACAAAATTTGAGCTCGATCCAACGGTGGGAACATCTTCATCTGAGGCGAAATATCTGACGGACAAAATCTGTCTTTTCTTTAGAAAGGCTTGTTTCTCCTCTTTTTATGCACAAAATACTCTAATTACCTACAAAGGCTTTAAGACCCACAAAAAACTAGAAATAGCAATTAAATACCAAAACTTAGTTATTTATTAATTAAAAACCATTTAAAACATATCGGTAAAATACTGTATGACATATATCACCTATTATATATTGAATTAATTAGCCCAAACGAAATGATTTCTTAAAAACAATTAGCCCATCAGAATTTATTAACCCACGCATATCTCCACTATTTATAATATTTTTTTTTCATTTAAAAATTGTTTACACACAATAAAAGTTTAGAAGACTTTTTTTATACCAAATATATATGTTTAATGAAATTTATAATAAAGACCTATCAAATTTTGAAAATAGATTTTATCCTAAATTTAAAAAACTATATATGTATTCTTTTGATTTTCACTACAAGAAAATCTACGCATTGCCAAGACTTTGCCAGCGACACTTCGTGGCAAATAAGTTTTTGCCACAAATATATCACAAATTTGCTACGAAAACGACAAAATGAAATCTGTGGCAATTTCGTGATTTTATTTGTGGTAAATATGTCACAAACTCAATTGGTAATACGTGGTAGCCACAACTTGCCAGAAATATGTTCCTGGCCATGATTACCACAAATTACCAGAACTATTACGTGGTAATAGTTTACCACAACCCAAAACATTACAATTAGTGGCAACCAATGTCACATAACACGATGTGGCTAATCGTGGCAAATTTGCCACATAAATATTCTAGCAAGTTTGTGGCAATGATTACCACAAAAATATATTTGTTGCAGTTTGTGGCAAAGTTTGCTAGTGACATGTCAAACGAGTTATCTCGCCCCAAAATCCATAAAGCCTGCATATATATAAGTCTGATCTGAAAAATATTCTGATCTATTTTTCAAAAGCTGGCCCAACCCGAGTAGGGTTATAAGGATTTATGGACTTTTTCATATTTATATGT